CCCCAAAACCCCAAAACCCCAAAACCCCAAAACCCCAGAAGGTTAAAACTTGGTTATTTATTAAAAGCTATTGTTTTAGTGTATATTTTGGAGAATCTCTGGTTCTTTTGCTTTAGATTCCTTACTTTTGCCATTTGTCCTATACCTCTTAAAATTTATGTCTTACTTGTTGTTGAAAACTTGTTCCGGGCCCTCCGAGTAGGTTTGACTAAGGGAGAGCGTATACCTAAATGTAAATTAGTAAGCTCATACTTCCTATCCTAGACCTCTTTCTCGCTTCTTGAGGCGAATTTACTCTGATCTCAGGGGATTTTACTCTAAATCTATTCCTGAATAATTGGTTTTCCATTGGGCTCTCTAATATAGGGGGGCTATTCATTCCTCCAATTTGCTGAGCTAGACCCATTACTCTAATAAAGCTTACTATTTCCTTGAGGAGAGGTTGAATTCAGCTGAGGCAGATTATAATTATTAGTTTGAAACATTGTATTTCCCATATTTATTGACTTCTTTGTCTTCCTTTTCACAAATGGACTCTTAATAGAATTCTTATGCTTCTCTCTAAAATCTAAGCCAGAGCTCGATATTTTCTTGGTTTTGATTCGCTCTTTAATGATCCGAAGATAACGCCGATCTTTGTGGGAAGCTGGATTTAAGCTCATAGTATCAGGGACTCTGTTCCGGCTAAAGTTTTATGAATAAATACCTATTTTTCTCTTCTATTAGAGACTATACTGCTTCTATTCTTTATCTTTGATTTTCATTTCTCTTTACTATACTGTACTGCACTTGTCAAGCGTTCGATGTTATTTAGTAATCTGATTAATGGTGGATTCTATAATTGGGCTCCCAAAAGTACCTTTGCCAATTTTGCTCATTCTCTTTTTGATTCTTTCTTGATTGCTAAACAATCTGATTCTTCCCCGTCTTTTTGGCCTTTTTAGCTTATCCTTGTTATCATCACTCCCCACGGCAGATTCATTTGGAGGAGATTTTGGGTAAAACATTTTAGGCTTTGCTACAGTTCTATTGTTTATACCTATGTTTTAGATTAAGAAACTTACTTCTTAAATCATTGTTCTTGATTGTCCTTCTGTTAGGAGTAAAAATTGACTCCCTTCCCTTTTTCTTTGCCAAAATATTGCTATTATCCTTCGCTGAATTCTAAAAGTAATTTTAAAGTTTACTTTATTGCTGTACACTTTCTTAAGATCCAGTCCAGAAAGCTTCTTTTCTGTAATAACTTTCAATGGTGAAAGAGTTCTAAAGTGTTAACTTTGGTTGTACTCTTCAGGGACCTCATCATCAGGACATCTAGATACTCAAATAGAATATCTGTCTATATCATTGTTCTTATTTCTAACTTTCCTACAGGATGAGGGTGTCCTTACTTATATCGTGTTGTTGCTCTTTTTGATCCCTTTTTACGATTATTTCTCCTGAAAAGCATTCTTTATCATCTCTTGAATTTCAGGTCTCAATTTATATAATGAGAAATTGTTCGGTTCTCTAAAAATAATGGAGTTTGGATACTTTTGTTGATATTTTAGGCGATGAATAGCCTTAATTTCTTTTGCAAAGTCCTTTTTGAATATCTTCAACTCTTTATTTGACACTCGGGACGAGGTTGTCAATCTCCTGCTCAAGCTTATGGCCTATGAAAATTAGAAACATAACTAACTCTTCTTCTTGTTGATAAACTTTTTGCACTTAGTAACATTCTGAATAATTTTTCCGAGTAATTTCAGTTTCTCTGACAGCTTAGGATCATCTTGGGAGTTTTGTTTCGACAGTTTTGTGGCTTTCTGCTTTACTATTAAAGTTAAACAGAACTGTTACGCAATGAAACAATTTTGTCAACAATCTTTAAATCTTTTTGACTGAAAACGTCTCCTTGGGCTACTGACCGATTGGACAACCTTGGACCTCTATTATTTTTCTCAGCTCTTGATAATCTGGATACCTTCGAAGATCTAGAAGCCTTACGATCCCTAGTGTTCTTGAAAATGGAAGACAACTGGTCTAACTCTTGTTTATTTTGAGGATTGAAATTCCCTTCTAAATATCAAGATTCAGAAGGCAGCTTAAAAGCTGTTACCTTTGTTTTGAGATATCTTCATGATCGGAGTTCATATACTCTGGAGTAATACTACTGGTTTTCTTGCTGCCAGTTCTTTCATTTAGTCTAATCTCTTTATCCAGTTTACGATGAACACGAGATAAAGGAGGAGGAGTAATTTTCTGTAAGATGTTATGAATAATATACTATAGAGATGATACAGGAAAATTACCCCCAGCTCTGGCTCTTTGTATAGTTCCTCTTGATCCTCTCTCAAGGTCTGGATTGCTAAAAGCATTCTGTCCAACTTTCAAATCCCTTGATGGGGGTGTCCTGTCTTTCATAGCGCTTGCCCTTCCGATCTTTTTGTTATCAGCAGAAGGGTCTAGCCATTACACCTCACTCTTACCTCTGCGTGAAGGACTGATGGATCTCGGAAGTTTCTTGTTACTAGTGAAATTAACAAAACTTCTCCTAAAAGTGCTCAGACTAAATATTAAGCTAGTGAAGTACCTTTTGTTAAGGTCAGCTACACTTGTCTTCATAAGGTCAATTTCTGACTTTTTGACCTCTTCATGTTCAGAGCCTTCAGACTCCTCTTTCTTCTCAAACTGACGTATAAGGTTTAGAGGAACATTAGATTTCATCATTTCTTTATTTTTCCTCTATACTGAGGTCCTTATACAAGGGATTGCTATTAATCTCTCGGATTCTGCAGATCATTCTCTTCTCTATATCATCAAATCAAACTGGGAGAAAGAAATCTCAATAAGAGGAGGCATGCTCTTACGTTCGTGCTATAGATTAGTTAAGGAAGAATTACTGAAGAGTTTTCTCTTAAATCTCGTTTCATACCAGCATCACTCTTATGGGTATTCCTAAATGATTTCTGAATGTTTGACTCTAGAAGGTACTCGCTCGGATGATGCTATCGATTATAACAATATTTACCAATCTTGACCTGAACTCCTTGTACTTGGTAATCTTCTCACTCATCTGGCTATTATTTTGCATCAGGGATTCCAAGTCAGACTTATTTATGATCAGCTAAAATTTTGAATTAAGTTATGAAGAAATTCAAAAATTTGATTGAAAATTGACCATTCAAATGCAGTATACTAAACTAATCCTAAAACCTAGAGAGATATGGCTGAAAGTTTAGAGTCAACCAAGATTGGTTAAGATAAGTGCCTTCAGTACTTACAGCTAGGTTTGGGAATACCATTTGATTCCTGATTTTGCATAGTTCTTTCGCTTAAAGCTGGTTCATTATCTACCTTGGCTTGCCCTCCAGAATCTCTCATGCTGTCATCTACTTTAGCACACTAAAAATCAAGAAATTAGTCAAAGAATTAGATAAAATAGATTTCCCAAATTTTTATACAATAGTGCATAAAATGATTTACACTTTCAGCATTCTTCCATAATCAACATAACAAAATCATAAAATAAAATATTTAAAGGACATCATTTTTATATTTCCATGATCCAAAACTGACTAATTTTTATTCAGACATAAAAACACTAAAACTTCTTCCATCCAAAACTACCTTCTCACAACTCCCACAAATTTCCTGTACGAGCCTTCCCAAAACCCATCACACCCAGACTAAAAATTGCGCCAAAGTCAGTTCTACTGCCAAATTTCTCTAATGTCTCTTCCCCAAGCCCTCACTCCATTACAAAATTTGGTCAAAACAGAATAAACTTAGGTTTGACTTTAATGTCAGGCGTATAAATTCTGGATTTGGCTGGAGGAAAAGGGGTGTAGGAAGGTGACTGCGAATGGAAGGCAGGATAAGGTAAGTGGTAGATAGGTCAGAATTGGTACAAACTGGAGAATGATGCAAATATGCACTGGAGATTATTTTTGTAGGTTGAGGAGATTAAGGGATTAGAGATCATTTATATTTGGAACTAAGTTGGTATGATTAATATACAATATTTTGTGTGAACTTAGTTACAAATGTAAAGAGAGTTAAACGAACTCAGAAAAAAATTCCAGACCACTAAACCTCTATCTCTTCAACTCCATCACCTCACTACAGAGGTACATCAAACACCTCCTTTATAAATGATTTCAAATCCCTTAAACCTCCAAACCAACTAAAATCATCTCCAGCTCACTATGCCCTCATTATCCAGTTGGTAATAATTTAGACATATCTGCCACTTCCAGTAATTTCAGGTGTAAAAAATGAGTTAGGCTGTACAGAAGGTCTTAAATCGTGGGTTTAGAGCCAAATCCCGATTTCTCCCTTTTTATAGTAGATTTTGAGGATAATAAAAGTTAACATTTTGTGTTGAAAAAATTATTCAAAAATTTTCGAACTGGATTTATATGTCTAAGCTGGTTGAAGGAGAAAAGATGCGAGAAATATTTTCAATTCCTAAATTCTCTCGGGATTAATTTAAATCACTTCTATCGGCTATGAAAGTCTATTGATTAAAATCCAGTTTGAAATTAATACCTGGGCTATCTGAGTATCTAATAGCACTCAAAGTGAATGAAGTCAGTAAAGGAAATCTGACACTAGAAAATTGATTAACATTTATCAAAAACTAAATTTCAATTTCCAGCCCTTCTGCAGCCATGAACTCGATCTAAGAGGTTCTTTGGTATAAAACTTGGCTTAATTCATCAAGATTTTTCATTATGCATCAGTATTTATTATGTAAAAATTTCAATGGTAATATAGCTTGTGAAGAAAATTAAAAACACTCATCTTTTTAATTAAAATGCCTAAATATCTCCCTTAGTGCCTTGATAATATATCAAATAATTCCTAATCCCAATTGTCGATAAGCTTGCCATTTACTACAATTATTCGTAGAATTTGTTAAAATGATGCTCCAAAATTTTATCAGCAACAAGCTGTCTAGGTTTGCTTAAATCAAGCCCCATTAAAATCCAAAATCTAAGATAAAATACCGTATAAAATATCCTTTAAAGTCCTTACAGAAGTGGAAAAATCATTGTCATGCTCCATATTCATGTTTGCTATTACTAATTTATTATTTCAATAACTTAATAATACATTGGGGTTTTGGGGTTTTGGGGTTTTGGGGTTTTGGGGTTTTGGGG